CTCTCCCTCTCTCTCTCTCTCTCTCTCCCTCCCTCTCTCTCTCTCTCTCTCTCTCTCTCTGCATGTTGCTGCTGCTGCTGCACTCAACCTAAATTTCCTAGTCTTTTGTCTTAATCCCTTCATGAAAAACATGTCATAATTTGTGCTTCATCAAGTTTAGTTTGTCCCCTCTACCATGGCCTCAAGGTTTGGTTTCGTTTCAATTCCCCTTATTCTGATCTATATTTCTCCATTCTCACTTTCATTTGGGCTCATCCGCACCACACCCAGCCGTCACGGATTCCTCCTGTGCTCTCCAATGCTAAGAGATTAGGCGTCCTGTAATTTATCAGTTTTTTGTCAACTCTATGTTATTTTTATATGTGGGGTTTGGGTGGTCAATGAAGCAAGAGTAAAGAAAGAAGACGAGAAACTTGGGACCCAAATTTGTGGCAAATGAAGTGTGTGCAAACCTTAGGAGACTTGAGTTCATATTCTAGCGGAAGTAAAAATATTAGGTGATTTCTTACCATTTGTTGTGGGCGGCGTTACCTTGTAATTGGGCTGGTGGGAGGCACCAGCTACTAGTGGAACAGTCAAGGTGTGGCGTAAGTTGGCCCGTACACGAGAAATTTGAAATTGTCGTAGTTTCACTGATGCATCTGTTGTGTTTGCTTTCTACTTTTGAAATCTCAGCGAACATAAATTTTTGGTAATACACTTTCCTTTATATTAGCTTTATTTGTTAGATAGACGTTCTTTAATTGCTTATTGTTTTTATATGAATTCCAGTGTTTCAAATGATTTATACTCTCTATCTCATCTCTTGATTTTTAGAGAAATAGGTAAAAAGTTGCACAGGATTCTCCCCACCCACTATTTAATCAATAGTGCCATAGAACTCACAGTTTTTGCAAACTGAAATTCATTCACCTATGGTAGAATGAGTGTTGCTATGTCATGATTATGTAACTTCCATTGCTTGCTGGCAGCTTACATAATGTGTGTGAAAATGAACGCAGAAATGATATATTCAGTTTTGATTAGGCCCAAGAAGTGAACCTGGAAACTGTTTTTGTAATCCTGATTTACTTAAGGATTCTGGGGATAATGGGTGCTGTACTGCTCTAGGAGCATTACTTTTTCCACGGGTGCTATACTGCTTAAAGACTGGTAAATTTCAGCATTTGCAAATTGCTCTCTCACTTATGCTATTATATATATGTAGGCGAAGGGAGATAAGGACATATGGTGATGTGAGGTGAAGGGAGATAAGGACATATGGTGATGTGAAGGGAGATAAGGACATATGGTGATGTGAAGGGAGATAAGGACATATGGTGCATCAAGGTTTAGCTTCATGGTAACAGCTTGTGGAAATGGTGGACAGGATTAGCAGCTTTGTGGTGATATACTATTTAATTGCCCTTATTATAGCCTGTTTGGCCAGGCTTCTTCCTAGTCCAAAAGTGCTAGGAAGAACACTTTTTTGGGAAGCCTGTTTTTTTTTTTTTTTTTTTTTTTTTTTTTTTTTTTTTTTTTTTTTTTTTTTTTTTTAAATACTTTTTTTCTAAACCTGAGGTGTTTGGCCAAACTTTTTTGGGGAAAAAAACGCTTTTGGGAAGAAGCAGAAGCACTTTTTATGAAACAGAAAAAGTAGCTTTTCCGTAGAAACAGAAGAATTTTGACTTTTCTTTTTACTGAAAATACCCTTAGCAAAATGTAGTATTTTTCAAAATAACCTTATTCTAAACCTAATACTTGGGATATTAATTAATAAATATATTTTTTTTATTTTTAGGATAGCTTTCTAATATATAGTGACTTCTGGGGTGAATGTTTTTATATTTGTTGAATATTTTTTTGATATATTTAAATCATCTTGAAAGAATTAAAGTACTTTTTAATTTTATTTTCATATTTTATTTAAATAAAATAAAAAACCTTAACTATTATCTTTAATAATAAAATTTTGAAGTTTTTTATTTACTCACATAATATTAACTATTAAGTAAATCCCTTCATGTCCTAGTTCTTAATTTGATACTTAAAAGTACTTTTTGAAAAGTTTGGCCAAACACAAATTATTACTCAAAAGTGCTTTTCAGATTGATTAGTCAAACACAAACTGCTTTTCTTTAAAAGTACATCGAAAAATACTTTTAGAAAAATCACTTCACAAAATATTTTTCTAGCTTGGCCAAACAGGCTATTAAGTTTTTGGCCATGTTAAAGTTATGTCTTAAGATGTTATAATTAACTAAAGATTTGGTCGTTTAAGGTGGAAGAATTGCTCCATTTAATTTTCTGGTGTGTTTATTTGGGTGGATCTTGAGACTCCCGGTCATCGCTTGGTCCGTTGCCATTATAAACATGGCTATACTAAAATGTTAACAAAGAAACTTGACTAGGGTATGTTTAATAAAAAATTATAAGTAAAATGTTGCTCTCAAACGCACATGCAAGTATATCTGGTCGACAAGTAATATAGGATTGTAAGTTTAGATATCATACCCACAAGGACGTGTGATTAACTATCAATTAAATTAAGCCCAAACAATTAGTCTTTCAAGCGATTTTCTAAAGGGTGAATTTTTAACTAAAACTAATCTAGAGTAACAAACTAAGAGATACAGGAAGCAAGTTTGTAATTTTAGAGATAAATTCAATAGGAGAAAATATTCTAGAGCTATGAGTTAGCTAACAACCCCGTTGAGTTTTCTACTTAAATTGTCTAATTAATTTATTTGGTTTGTTGGTTGATAGGGTTAATATTACTTGTAATATTCTCTTGAACTACTACTCACCTATTCAAGCTAACCTATGGTCACTCAACTTTGTCAAATTATCTTTTAAAGTCACTTTTCTTTTGTTTGTAACAATAAAGTCATTGAACTATGCTTATTGCACTCAGAAGATCACTCAACTAAATATTTCAAATTTTGGATTGTCAAATACCTACTTTACCCTCTAAATTATAAATATTTATCTTCTTTTGTTTTTTTTTTAACTTTTTAATATTATGATTTTTTCTTTTTAATTTATATTATGGACTTACCTATAGAATAAATAAATATTATTTATATATTAAAAAAATAAAAAGTATTAAGCATCTATAATCTATAATGTTGGAATAACAAAATAATGAGCATAGTAAAATTAATTAGAATAATTTGTTCGTAATAATAATTTTAGTATTAACAACAAAAATTTAAAAATTTATTTACACAATTCAGAATGAAAGAAAATAAAGGTTGTAAAATATATATTCCATGCATGTAATATAAAAATAATTATTTAAATAAAAGTATTTTTATAATATACATATATATTCTTGAAAATTATGCTCAATTATATTATATATATTCTATGCACGATTTAATATAGTATATTTTACCCTATACAGATAGTCCCCCTACTTTCCGGTGACATAACTTTATGTCGTCGGAAAGTTGATAGAAACATAATAATATAATTGAGCATAATTTTTAAGAATATATAATGTATATTATAAAAATATCTTTATTTAAATAATTATTTTGGTATTACGTGCATGGAATATATATTTTACAACCTTTATTTTCTTTCATTCTGAATTGTGTAATAAATTTTTGAAGTTTTGTTGTTAATACTAAAATTATTATCATTAACAAATTATTCTAATTAACTTTTTTTTTACTAAGCTCGTTATTTTGTTATTCCAGCATTATACATGCTTAAATACTTTTTATTTTTTTAATTTATAAATAATATTTATTTATTCTATAGATAAGTCCATAATATAAATTAAAAAGAGAAAATCATAATATTAAAAAGTTTAAAAAAATAAAAAGAAGATAAATGTTTATAATTTAGAGGGTAAAATAAGTATTTGGCAATCCAAAATTTGAAAAATCTAGTTGAGTGACCTTCTGAGTGCAATAGGCATAATTCAGTGACTTTGTTGTTACAAACGAAAGTAAAGTGACTTTAGGAGATAATTTGGGATAGTTGAGTGACCATTTGAGTAATGGACTCTATTCTTATGGAATTAGGATTAACAAGAATGCATTAATAATTCATGTATAATAACCAAGCAAGGCGATTAGGTATATTCTTATCCTAACCGCAAATTCGTCCCGATGCTCAGGTTCAAGATTTTGCTATACTCAATCTTATATGCAATCTAAAATTTTATTTCCCGAGTTCAATCCTAGATTTGTAAATAGTATTTAATTGATGATCAAGCAATCAAACAATTAAGCACAAGATTGAATAAATAAACCAATATGATAAAATAATAAGAGCAATTCAAGTTTTAAATTACAACGTTCATGTAGCATCCCACAACTCTAGAGCTAATAAACTATGAAATTAAAGGAAGAGAAAAGAAAAAAAACTAGTTGGATCATGGATGCCTTCTCCCAACGCGGTTTATGATCTCCCCTCTAAAGTAGCGTGTCTCCTCCCAAAAATATGTTAGGTATTCTCCGAATTAGGTTTAGAGTCCTTTTTATACGAGTAGGATCGAATAGAACCGAAATAACTTTGTCCAATGCAGTAGCGTTTTCACACTCAATCCCATTCTTCACTTCAATGACTTGGTTTGGATTTCAGTCCTTTATTTTTCGTGTCTTCCACTTGGGGAACAAACACCAAAGGGTGTTCCCCTTTTTTTCTCCTTTTTTATTTGTTTAGTTTTCTTCTTTTTTTTTCTTTCGTATTTTTTAATTTTGCTCCAAATCTCTTTATTTTCACACTGCTTTATTTCTATACAATTAAAATATAATATTAAACACAAAGTAATATAATTAATACTTAAAAAATAATTAAAAGTGCTATAATGTAAAGCAATAATAGATAAATATATGTATTTTTGACCGAACATTATAAAGCAAGAGCGTCCTGCAAAATGTGATGTTATTTTGAGTGTTTTTTTTATTACCAAAATCGTCTCTTGCCTGATTAAATATCATAGTTTAAGTCGACTATAGTTGTGTACCTTATGCTAGAGTTTTGAAGAGCATCAGACCATTTTATTCATCATAAGTAAACGGATTAAACAAATGATGTATACAATTGGCAATGAACCTTATTCCATGAAGGAATTGACCAAATTGGACAGCCTTCTTTCGCCGTTAAATTAGAAGGTTAATTGATGCATCATCGTAAAAATATCACGGTATATCCAGTTTTTGGACTGGTCATTCAAAAATAGTCAGCGTTTACCAAGTCAATGAAAAATAATCACTATTTTGCTGCAACAGAGACCGGTCCAGCACAATATACTGGAGTTCGGTGCACCTGTGTATGAACTCTAGCATATTATGCTGGACCGGTATACTATGCTGGCTCCAGGATAATATACTGGAGACTGGAGCACCGGTGCTCCAAACTCCAGTATATTATGCTGGACCGGTATACTATGCTGGCTCCAGGATAATATACTGGAGACTGGAGCACCGGTGCTCCAAACTCCAGTATATTATGCTGGACCGGTATACTTGCTGGAACTCCAGTATATTATGTTGGATTTCTAGTGTACTTATGCTAGAACTCCATCATATTATGCTGGAGTTCCAGCATAATATACTGACGCATTTTTCGGATTTTGAACAGTGTTTTCGTTCAAATATATCTTTACATAAAAAATGGCTAAATTTTGATAACTTTTAAAATTGGGCTATTTTTGAACGACCAATTGTAAATCTAACTATTTTTTAATTTCTCCCGGCATCATCTTGTCGAGATTTGGATCAAGCGACCCACGACGATCCGAACATGCCTTGGCGGCGTGTGGAAAAGTCATCTTACATGTCAACACCCTAATTGCTTTAAAAGATAATTTTTTTAGTATTGAGATGAAATAACATTGGATAAGATGGAATAGATACAAAAGATTGGAGGAATAATCGAAAGAAAGTAATGTGAAATTGAGGCACAATTGATTAGTTAACTCGCATATGAAGCAAGAGGAGACCATTTATAAGTTCGGGGCTAAAATAAAATTTACCTATTACTATAAATCAGCATAAATACCCCGAATGTGGTAGTGCCGTGCCATCCGAAATTCTAATTTATCATTAACTCAATTTTCATGCATTTGTTACTTTAACCTCTTTAGAAAAATTAACTCTTTCAATACAAAAGAAGGCTAACACTTTTATAGCCTCTTAAACATAACGCTTTACACTACCAGAAAATGATTCAATTTCGATCAAAAAAAGTATAGTTGGACATTTGCGACGGGTTCGATAAAAAATGTGATAGAAAAATATTACTCTTGTTATGATAAATATCACATTATGGTGGATGTCTACTCTTCTTCCATGATCTTCATCTCAAATGCTTAATGACATATTCAATGACATATTTTGTATGTTCAATGACATATTCCATGACATATTTTCTTCACTTTTTATGCCTATATAAAGGCCTTGTAATAGATAGGAAAATACACACAATTGAAGAAGAAATAAGAATCTCTCTTCCTCTCTTTCTATCTATATCTCTTAGTTTGTTTTGCTTGTTCT